TTCACTTGTACCGCATGTCTTTGGACTGTGGGGGAAACCGGAGCACCCGGAGGAAACCCATGCGAAGGCAGGGAGAACATGCAAACTCCACACAGAAACGCCAACTGAGCCGAGGTTCGAACCAGCGACCTTCATGCTGTGAAGCGACAGCACTACCTACTGCGCCACTGCCTCGCCTACATCCATAATATTTATATTATTTACTAATTAATAACCTCATGTGGAATTATGAATCTGCGTGTCATTTCGGAGGCTGCTTCTTTCCACCAGAGGTCACATTTCAGTCACGGACACATGACAAAGAAAATGGCACATAATGCAGAACATTTGACTTTAGTGTTGTTTTCCAGATAAACAAGAATGTTCACTTAGGCCCAATCCCAATTCTACCCCTCAGTCCCTCCCCTTACCTCTCCCATTTCTCTTTATTTTTGAAGGCGTAGGGCTAAGAGGAAGGGGTAGATAGCCATCCTTTTTTCAGGACCACACTTGTAACCAAGGGGTAAGAAAATTTCCAAGAAAACACCAGCTACACTTTTTTTGTCATTATTACGAATTTTTAGACAAACACATTTTAATACATTCATTTAATACATCATGGTTTTAAAAAAAGTGCTAAATTTGGCTATCTATAATCCCTAATTATAACTCCTGTATACTCGTCCCACAACATTCTGACACTCGATTAACCTGTCAGTAAAGTCTAATGGCTGGGAATGAGCTTTTTATAGTGTCTGCTATAATGTTAATGTTGTTTTGGTGTGTTTACATAGATGAATATGGCCACTGTGTAAATGCGCAGTACAGTTACGATCTTTTATGGTTATTATAACATAATATCATTGCCTTCAGTGATGTCCTGAAGATAAATACCAAAAAAAAACAACAACTGGAAGAACTACAGCAGTCGCAATTGTCTGATCTCATATAAAGCAAGAGCTCACGATGACATATGATGCCGTGTGCAGGTACTGTAGTGGTGACCCATTTCTTACGGGTAAATTTTGAAGCCCTTCCCCTTCACACTCTGTTTTAAAGGGGCCAAGGGCAAGGGGTGGGGGTACAAAAATAGAATTGGGATTGGGCCTTAGCATGTTTCCTATCTGCAAACATATTATGGTATTTGTATGCTTTAGACGAGTCAAAAACTTACATACGGCACCTTTGATCTTTTTGCCTCAACACATTCCATCTCATTCACTTCTATTGATTTTTAGACGTCAAAACAGCTGGTTTTGCTGCTTCATGTTGCAAACTGATATTTTCTTTACTCTTTTATATATTTAATGATGAACATAGTTGTTTGTAGAGCAAGTAGTTTGACCGCTAATTATTCCTAATCATTTTTCCCATAGGCAACTGAATAAGAAAAAAAGAAAAAAAAACGAGCGCACTTCCAGATTACAGAATAAGGTCAATAACTTGATGCATTTCTCAGTGCATTTTACACGATGTAGATAATCCGTTCAAAAGTTTGGGATTGACATGATGTTTTAAAAAAATTAAAAATGTATAATAAAGTCAATAATATTGAATAGTTTTACTCTTCAGAATAGCTGTTTTGTATTTATGTACATTTAAATATTTCATTTATTTCTGGCTTTCAAAGCTGAACTTTCAGTATCATGAAGTGTGACGTGTTCCTTCAGATTCGCTTCTCAAGGAATATTTCTGATTATTAGCAATTTGGTGCTTTAAGATAAAAGAAAATGTTTGACCCTGGAGCACAAAACCAGTTTTAAGCATGGGTATATTATAGCCAATGTCCAAGAATACATAGTATGAGTCAAAATGACAGATTTTTCTTTCATATTAAAACAATCAGTAGACTATTAAGCAAGCCTATGTTCCAGGAAGATTTGTATGTATACATTTTTTACTGTAAATATATCAAAGTTACATTTTAATTAGTAAAATGTATTGCTAAACACTTCATTTTCACACATTTTTTGCACCCTCAGATTCCAGATTTTTAAATATCTCAGCCATTCATTCATTCATTCATTAATTAGTTCGTTCATTCGTTCGTTCGTTCGATCATTAATTCATTCATTCATTCATTTATTCGTTTATTCATTCATTCGTTCATTCATTCATTTTCCTTCGCCACAGCGGAATAAACCGCCAACTATTCCAACATATGTTTTACTCAGCAAATGCCTCAAATGCCATTCAATCATTTGTTCGTTCATGCATTCGTTTGTTCGTTCGTTCGTTTGTTCATTTGTTCGTTCTTCATTCATTCATTCATTCATTCACTCATTCATTCATTTTCCTCTGGCTTAGTCTCAGAGTTTGCCACAGCGGAATAAACCGCCAACTATTCCAACATATGTTTTACTCAGCAAATGCCCTTCCAGCCGCAACCCCAATACTGGGAAACACCGACACACACACACGCACTTCAGCCAATTTAGTTTATCCAATTCACCTATACCGCATATGGTTGGACTGTGGGAGAAACCGGAGCACCTGGAGGAAACCCACGCCAACACGGGGAGAACATGCAAACTCCACACAGAAATGCCAAGTGGCCCAGCCGGGACTCGAACCAGCGACCTCCTTGCTGAGAAGCCACAGTTTTAACAACTGAGCCACCGTGCCGCCATATCCCACCAAATATTGTTTATTCTTTAACAACCCAATCTAAAACTTCTATTTATTCTGATTTCAAAGCATATATAAATCTCAATTTCTGGTTTTGTGGTCCAGGGTCACACATGACTTCATTAAAACTCACTCAACAACTGAATGAAAACCTGTGTGTTTGATATGAACATGATGTAAATGATACTGAGCTTAAACATCTCCATACACACACTCTGTTTTTCAAATACAGCATGTCAAGTCATTTGATAAACATTTTTATATTACAATATACTGTACATCACTGAAAACAACAATATTGCGATGTCAGATTTTCCCCAATATATCGCTCAACCCTGCTGCTCAACATTTCTGTAGAATCTGTGATATATTTATTTATTCAGGATGTTAAACAGCATTTCAAACATCATGAATTAACACATATATTACAGATTCTACAGAAACGTAAATAAAAACAATCATTTGAAATAAGATATATATGTATTAAATACAATTTTAAGCATACTTAATATTCTTAATATTTATATTTCTTTTAAAAATATAATGATCCCAAACTTCTGAACGGTGGTGGCCTATATAATATAACATTTTAATGACGGTTCAAGAAAATAGTTATAATATAATGTTTACTTATTTATGTATAACAGTACAAGACCAGGTAAATACATTAATTAAGCTTAACGGTCACACTTTACAATAAAGTTTCATTAGTTGATGTAGTTATTAACATAAACTAAAAATGAACAATACTTGTACAGCAGTTATTAATAATAGTTCAACATTTACCAATGCATTATCAACATCCACATAGATGCTTGTTAACATTGGTTAATGCACTTATAGCTAACAATGAACAACTTTCCATCAACTAACATGAACAAAGATGAATAAATGCAGTAATAAATGTATTGTTTATTATGTTAATAAATACATGCACTAATACAACCTTATTGTAAAGTGTGACCAGCTTAACATACTGATTCATGTTGACTTTAGGCAAAGTTCTCCAAAAAAAAAAAAGGAAAACTCTGTCATCGTTTACTCACTATTTGAGTTCTGTTGAACAACAAAAAGAGATAATTTGAAGAATGCTGTAAAGCCAGGGTATCTGCAGGTTTCTAACTGTTATATTTAAGACTTTTAGGACCTTTTTAAAAGCAAACCGAATGAAATTTTAGAACAATTTTATAGTTTCAGTCTATAGTACTGTCATGTTTTTCAAACTTAGCAATGTTAAAAGTTGCTGGAAATAAAATCAAGGTCCCATCATGCAATTCAAAAGCATAATTAAACAAGAAAAAAAAACATGGATCACAAAATACAGAAAACTGTGAAATTACAGATATTATTTCATCATTTGCTAATGTGTAACTGACGCATCGGTCTAAAAATAGCGAAATCACCACAAGCATGTATTTTTTGGGGGTTCCACCTATTTCGTTATGGGTGCAAATAGAGTATATATTTCAAAATGGAAGCAAAATCTTTGTAGGATCGATTCTAGTGAATTTTTAAGACTTTTAAAAAATAGATTTAAGACTTTTAATTAAGATTTAAGACTAATTAAGGCCTTATATTTGTATCCTATGGAATTTAAAGAGCCCCTATTATACATTAAAAGGGTTATATGTTGGTTTTAACGGTCTCCAACAACAGACTAATATGCATGCAAGGTCAGAAAACCTCTTCATTGTCTTATAATCTGCATTAATTTTTACCTAATTATCCCAGCGACTCCCACATGAATCGTTCAGCGATTCATTTGTTTCCAAACCCCTCCTTAGCGTGAAGCTAATCTGTGCTGATTGGACCGATGACAGCCTGTTGCAAAAGCACGAGACAAAATAAACCTCAACCACTGACTCTTCACAAATTCATCTATGAGAAAATACCATTAACTTTCCGCTCACACATCCAGTAATTTCCAGCTGAGCACAGCGTCTTCATGACTTGATTTAACCAGGATCTGCTACACCTTTTGCCTTCCTCTTTTTCTTTGCTACTGTTTGTGGACGGGCCGCAGGTTTCAATTTACCCAGGTTTCCATGTGCAACAATTAGCCGGGGCTTAAGCATCATATCAATCACGCCGAAATGGCTAAAGACTCGTTATCTAGCCGATTCATTTGAAGCACTAAGAGTTGACTCTTTTAATTGAATCATTCGTTTTAAACATGGTGTACAGTCAGATTTAAGCCTTAGCTGGATATTTCACTTCACTTAGAGCTGTGTTACACACTACATAGAAGGTCAACCCTAACCCATAACAGGGGCTCTTTAAAACTGTTTATGCATCCGCAGACACAGTGAAAGCGGTAACCATTGGTTTTCATAGTATGTTTTTTATCTGCAGTTGTAAACTGAAGCAGAGATAGACCAGGAGGATTTATCAGGTATCTTCAAAGCAGAATCGTTTAATGAGAACTCGCCATCGCCGTGTCGTTCATCGAAAAATCGAAACCTCTGCAGCCTGGCATTCACTTAAATACACAGCTTAGGGGGCAGTGCTTATTAGTAGAAACAAACACTGCCATTACAAGTTTAGTTGAAAAATCAATGCCAATCTAGTTTCTGTGTCTTGCCTGAAAGCATCACCCGGCCATTCGTTTGATAAATGGCACAGCCGTGCATCGAACCCACAATTTGTATTACTTTAGAGACATGATACTATATTTCACACATAGGCAGTCAGACCTGGTCCCTCAGAGTGCATCCTACAATGTAAAACATAAATTATATATTTAAATAAATTCATAACACCACAGTGATATAGTTACAGGTTCCCAACATTCTTCACAACATCTTCTTTTGTGTTCAACAGAAACAGTGTTCATTTCTGTTTGACCAACTCTTTGTTTTCATCTGTTATGATTACCATTTTCCACCATTCTTCAAAATATCTCCTTATGTGCTCAACAGAAACAGTGTTCACTTCTGTTTGACCAACTCTTTTAGTGATTTTCCTATAAAGACAGTGAAATACAGTGACTTTATAAAGAATAACCTCACTATAGTGCAGATGAAGCACCTCACCGTGAACCTCCAGTAGTAAAAGCCCATGATCCAGTGTGTGTGTGTGTGTGTGTGTGTGTGTGTGTGTATTTACAGGTCAGACAGTGGTGGCTCTGCTGTACTGCAGTGCGAGTGGTGAATACTCCTTGAAGCGGACGCAGAGTTTCCCGCGTGTCCAGGGGTTTTGCAGTGTAAGCGGGCAGAAATCGTCCTGCAGCCACTTTTCTCGTCCCTCCACCAGCAGAACCAGGCCGAAATGCTGGAGCTGCTCGCCGCTGTACACACACACGTCAGAGGGCACACACTGATCGGCTGCACACGAGCACTGATGAGTGGCCTTCTGGAGGTGACGACACACTGCGTTCATCTCCTGAACCACCAGACGGACCAGCTCTGCAGCACACGTCTCTGGAGTCACACGCAACTGCAACACACACACACACACAGAAGCATGCACACACTATTTAGTGAACTTAAAGGGATAGTTCACCCAAAAATGAAAATGTACTCACTATTTACTCTCCCTCAAGTGGTTCAAAAGCTTTATAAGTAACCTTTTTTTCAGCTGAACACCATGGAAGCTAGTTGGAAAAATGTTACCATTGACTTCCATAGTAGGAAAAACAAATATTATGGAAGTCAATGGTTACCCGTTTCCGACATTTTTCAAAATATCTTCTTTATAACAGAGGAAAGAAACTCATAAAGGTTTAGATAGTTCACCCAAAAATAAAAAAAAAAATGCTTATTTAGTCTTCCTCAAGTGGCTCTAAACCTTTATTCGTCTCTTTGTATCTATTGAACACAAAGGAAGATATTTGTAAAAATGTTCCTATTGACTTTCTTAAAATCAAATCCTATAGAAGTCAATGGTTACCGTTTTCCAGCATTCTTCATAATATATTCTTTCGTAATTAACAAAAGACAGAAACTCATAAAGGTTTGGATAGTTCGTGTAAAAATGAGGTACTTACTATTTACTGTCCCTCAGGTGGATCTAAACCTTTATGAGTTTCTTTTTTTCTATTGAACACAAAGGACGATATTTGTAAAAATGTTATCATTGACTTTCATAAAAACAAATACTATGGAAGTCAATTGTTACCGGTTTCCAGCATTCTTCAAAGTATCTTCATATATATTTAACAGAATAGAGAAACTCATAAAGGTTTGAATAGTTCATCCAAAATGAAAATGTTCTCACTATTTACTCTCCCTCAAGTAGTTCGAAAGCTTTATGAGTTTCTTTCTTTCTGTTGAACACTAGGGAAGATGTTTGGAAAAATGTTCCACTGTAGGAAAAGCAAACTCTATGGAAGTCAGTGGTTACCAGTTTCCAATATTTTTCAAAATATCATTTTTATAACAGAAGAATCTCAAAAAAGTTTAGATAGTTCCCACAAAAACTACAATTTCTTTATTTAGTCTCCCTCAAGTAGCTTTAAACGTTTATAAGTCTCTTTGTATCTGTTGATCACAAGGGAAGATATTTGGAAAAATGTTCCCATTGATTTCCTTAAAAACAAATCCTATGCAAGTCAATGGCAACCAGTTTCCAGCATTCTTCAAAATATCTTCTTTTATGTTCAACAAAAGACATAAAGGTTTGGATAGTTCATGTAAAAACTATAACCAGCAGGTACTCACTATTTATTCTCCCTCAAGTGGCTCTAAACCTTTATGAGTTTTTTCTTCTGTTGAACACAAAAGACGATATTTGGGAAAATGTTACCATTGACTTCCATAAAACATACTATGGAAGTCTGTGGCTACCGGTTTCCAGCATTCTTCAAAGTATCTTCCGAGCTCATCCCAAAATGAAAATGTACTCACTATTTACTCTCCCTCAACTGGTTCCAAAGACTTATGAGTTTATTTCTTTCTGTTGAACACAAAGCAAGATTGGTGGAAAAATGTTACCATTGACTTCCATAGTAGGAAAAACAAACATTATAGGAGTCAAAGGTTACCGGTTTCCAACCTTTTTCAAAACATCTTTTTTTAATAGAAAAAAAAAGATTTGGATAGTTCACGCAAAAACTTAAATTTGGTTACTTACTCTACCTCAAGTGGCTCTAAACAAAATAGGATATTTGGAAAAATATTACCATTGACTTCAATAGAAACAAATAGTATGGAAGTCAGTGGTTACCGGTTTCCAGCATTCTTCGAAATATCTTCTTTTGTGTTCGACAGAATAGAGAAACTCATAAAGGTTTGAACATTTCATCCAAAATGAAAATGTTCTCACTATTTACTGTCCCTCTAGTGGTTCCAAAGCTTTATGAGTGTCTTTCTTTCTGTTAAACACAAAGGAAGATATTTGGAAAAATGTTAACATTGACTTTTATAAAAAGAAATACTATGGAAGTCAATGGTTAACAGTTTTTTTGTATACAGTATATGGTTGTGTATATGTATATAATTTAACTGTATATGGATTCTCAACTGTATATGGTTATATATGTGATGTAATGTGTATTTATATAGCGCATTTATTGTGTATGGCCATACACCCAAAGCGCTTCACAATCATGAGGGGGGTCTCTCCACACCACCACCAGTGTGCAGCATCCACTTGGATGATGCGACGGCTGCCACAGGACAATGGCGCCAGTGCGCTCACCACACACCAGCTATTGGGGGAGGGGAGAGACTGTGATAGAGACAATTCGGTGGATGGGGATGATTGGGAGGCCATGATCGTAAGGGCTGATTGAGGGACTTTGGCCAGGACACCGGGGTTAGACAAAAGAGAAAATATCCAGTGAGTGTCAGTTCTGTGGGCGCAAATGCCTAGTTGATGCCAGAGGTCAGAGGAGAATGGCCAGACTGGTTCCAGCTGATAGAAAGGCAATAGTAACTCAAATAAGCACTCGATACAACCAAGGTCTGCAGAAGAGCATCTCTGAACACACAACATTGAGGCGGATGTTCCAATAGAGCACCTTTGGGATGTGGTGGAACGGAAGATTGGCATCATGGATGTGCAGCTGACAAATCTGCAGCAACTGTGTGATGCTATCATGTCAATATGGAGCAAAATCTCTAAGGAATATTTCCAGTAGCTTGTTGAATCTATGGCATGAAGAATTAAGGTAGTTCTGAAGGCAAAAAGTGGTCCAGCCCAGTACTAGTAAGGTGTACCTAATAAAGTGGCCGGTGATTGTATGTATGTATATATATATATATATATATATATATATATATATATATATATATATATATATATATATATATATATAAAATTTAACTGTATATGGTTATGAATAAGTATATTCAACTCTATATGGTTATCAGGATATGAGATTTTAATGCGTGACTCACTTTGACGCTGGTGTCTTTGGGTAAACCGGTGCGGTATTGTGGGTAAACTCTCAGTGTGCTGTGACACTGTCTGTGCGGAGACCCGGCCGCGGGGTCGGAGAGTCTCTGCACGCCGCTGTCCTCTGATAGAGTGCGCACTGGTGAGGGGCGGGGCTCGGGGGCAGAGAAACACAGATCAAAAGAGGAGGGGCGTGTCCAGCGCATCTGATTAGAGGAGGCGGTGTGTGTGGGCGTGGTCGGCGGGTACTCCAGGCTGCTGGTGCGAACGCAGAGAGCTGTCCTCTTCTCTGTCACACGTAAGAGCTCGATCTGACGACTCGGCAGGATGAAGTCGCTGTCCAACACACTGATGTGCTCACGGCGGCTCACTGGCTGCAGGACGTCTGGCTGAGAAGACCGCGGGGAGGACTGAGACGAGGATGATGGAGGAGATCTGAAGCTGGAGGGAGACGGAGGAAGAAGATCCAGCTCTCTGGTGCTCGGGGTCACGCTGGAGCTGTACTCGCTGCTGTCGGTGGTCAGAAACACATCAGAGGTGTTGTCTTCATCCGACAAATGAGAATCTACACACACACATAGAAAGAGAGGGAGAGAAATAAAAAATTGTCATAATGTAATCAACTATATACTATCCATATGCATCCAATCAGCTTGCAGTACAAAAAAGGCCACACCCACAGTTTTCTCATTTAATATTGCGTTTCTCTTGGCGACTTTAGTAATGATAACGCTCTCACCGGTGTGTTTGCGTGTGTTCTCCGGCGAAGGGCTCGGCGAGGGCAGGAAGTCCACCTGAGAGGAAGTGGAGGCTGGTTTCTCTGGGATGGTTTCCTTAGTGAAGTCTATGATCCAGGCCAAACTCACTCCAGAACTCTGATGTTTGTATCGGGCAGACTGGAGAATAACCATCCACCGCGCATCACGCCACAGCTCCTCCATATGCTGAACACACACACACGCACACAAGCACACAAAAATGCAAACTCTGTCATTTCCAAAAATACTACTTTTGTCATTTTTTGGCTGTTTTCTTTTTATTATGGTCTTTTAATTTGTATTGAACTAATTATTTATGAATTATTTTTAGTTTTTTAGTATTCATTGTAATTAGTATTTAATGTAATTATTATTATTTCTGAAATAATGTATTTAAAAAGTATATTATTGTAAAACAATGCTTTTGAAATAATGTTAAATTATTATTATTATTATTATTAACTTATTTATTATTTTTCGTTTTTAGTATATAATTTTTGTGTTATTATTTTGTGTAATTATTTTATTATTATTATAGAAATCCTCATAACAGGACTTTTAAATTCCAATTTATTTTAAAAAAATTTAAAAGGTTTTTTATTAAAAGTATTTTAATAATAATAATAATAATAATAATAATAATAACAAATATAATAATAATAATAAATATAATAATAGTCTAATAACTTATTTACTATAATAATAATAGTAATAATAATAATAATAATAATCGAAAAAACGTATTTATTATTTTTAGTTTTTAGTATTAAATCTTTTATTATTATTATTATTTTTATTATTATTATTATTATTATTATATTTTAGAAATCCCAATAAGAATTTTTTTTAAATTCAATTTCTTTAGTTATTCATTCATTCATTTTCTTTTTGGCTTAGTCCATTTATTAATCCGGCATCGCCACAGCAGAATGAGCTGCCTATTTAGATATTGTTTTATTAATTTTATTAATATTAAGTTTCCTTAATAATAATAATAATAATAATAATAATAATAATAATTTTGTGTTTGTTTTAATAGTTTACCAAAACATTTTTTTAAAGTACATAAATACATAAATTTATTTATACTGTATTTTTAAAAAATAAACAAAATGATGTATATATGTATGTTTTGCCAAGGCATTATTTCTCTTTTTTTTTAGTTTAACATAATGTAAAAAAAAACTAAAATAAAGTAAAAAATACAGTTGAAGTCAGCTGAAGAATTTTTAGCCACCCTGAATTTTTAGACTGCTTGTTTATTTTTTCTCCAATTTCTGTTTAACCGAGAGCAGATCTATTCAACACATTTCTAAACATAATAGTTTGTTCTGTAGATTTTTTTCTCGATAAAAATTAGCTTAAAGGGCCTAATAATTTTGTCACTAAAATTGTGTTTAAAAAATTTAAAAACTGCTTTTATTCTAGCCAAAAAAAAAACAAATAAGACTTTTTCCAAAAGCAAAAATATTATCAGACATACTGTGAAAATTTCCTGAATCTGTTGAACATTATTTGGGAAATATTTAAAAAAGAAAAAAAAAATCGAAGGGGGCTAATAATTCTGACTTTAACTGTATATCTATCTATCTATCTATCTATCTATCTATCTATCTATCTATCTATCTATCTATCTATCTATCTATCTATCTATCTATCTATATATATATATATATATATATATATATATATATATATATATATATATATATATATATATATATATATATATATATATATAAATTAAGTATAATAACAAACTAACTTAAAACATTGTTAAAAACTTTAAGATCTTGTATAAAACAACTGTAAACAAAGGAAAAAACAAATAAAACAATTATATTGATTGATTATATTTAGATTTTTTTCCAAATCTTTCCACATCATAGTTTGGTTTATTATTATATAGAGGGCAAACATATCTTATTTCAAATATTTCCGCAAAACAAATAAAATAAATGTTCACATTAAAAATAAAATGTATTATTATTTTCACATACACATCAGATACTTTGAATTAATAACAACATGACAAACCATTTTTTTTTTGCACTAAATCACAGTAATTAATCAGATGATTGTCGTACTTTGATTTGAAATGTCAGCTCAGGCTGTGAACTCTTCTCACACCGGCTGATCTCACATCTATTAAAGTGAATGCCGTAAATTCCTGAAGGTGAACAGTTTGTTCTGCTTTTTATTGCTCTTTCCTGTCATCAGTTTCACCTATGAAAGCTGAAGCGTGGCGGTGGCAGAAATAGGACAGAAATACCTGCAGATACTCCTCCACCTGCTGGTGTTTCTGCTTGGCGGAGAACAGCTCGGACTCGGAGAAAGCCTCGCGCAGAGACTGCTGAGACATCAGAGACTCCAGAGCCAGCAGAGCCGACACTTGACAGTACAGTGAGATGAAACTGGGCGAGTATGACTCAAAATGAACTGAAGAGAGAGAGACAGAGACAGATAAATAATATAAATGAATATTAATCATAATAATTATTTATGAATGATAAATATGTAAATATACTGATTATTATTATTTGTTATTAATGTTTTATCCATAAATGTTGTTTGTAAAATGTAATTTATTATGAATTATTTTTTTTGTTTAATATTTATTTATTTACTTTTATTTATATTCATTTATATTAAATTATTTAATTAATTATTTTCATTTATTTATTTATTCATAATTTTTTTGTTATATAAATTTATGAATTTATTTATTTAATATTATTTATTTATTTATTTGTATTTATTTATTTTCATTTATTTGTTTAATTTTTGTTATTTATTTTT